GTAAAGAACTATTGAAGAAAACATGTTATGAAGGGGGAACGGGGCCGAAATGCAGTAAAGGTTTATAGGGTTGTGGTGTTGAAGAAACTAAATGTCAATAGTGTTAGAAGCTGATAACACGTCCTCGTGTCTTACGAGTTGATACCACATTGACGTTGGTGCTGGGCTCCATGACAACTTAGCAAACATATCAACTTCCGGTTTTTGTTCTTATTTTCTTAACTGAGTTCCTGGTGTTCGTTATTTGGCTTAACGGTCGCTATGACTGATATTACATTGTAAATATTTGTAAGGTCCTCTTCCCAATTTTTATGAAAATAAAACAAATCCGAAAAATCCATATAAGCGCTTGTGATTTGTACTGTAAGTCCAAAGTCCAATGACGTCATTTCTTAACAAATGACCAATCAGGCTCTTAGTTGATATTCCAGTTCAGAGGCTGGCTATTCGCGCCGCATTATTGGAGTGGTCAATAAATGTTATCAATTTTACTGAGAAACAATTATTAAAGTACATTGTGATTATCATTTATATTAACTTTTGAGAAGAACAAGATACTGTAATTAATTTTAGACTACAATACTGATAGTAAAACAATATTATTTTTTAATCGTTCAATCGTTGAAATGTTACACATGTAATGTCCTTTTATGAAGAATACTATAAATTCGAATACTATATCATGTATCATTTCCTTGCTCCAAACGACCTTGACAAAGACATTTTTCGACTTTATAAGAGAAAGGTCGGAATATTTAATGTATAAGTGACGTTTCCTGTTTCAGTTGAAGGTAAGCGCGTCTGAATAAATTCCAAGGTAAAACATTTCATAATACAGTAAATTATCATAACATCTGTGACAACATATCTGTATTTTGTTCAAAAATATCATTATTTACCTCCTTAATTGTATTTTGTTCTATCTATTGGACGTGAAATATTGTGTTCTTGTTAGAAATATTCTCCAAGGTCACATTTGACCAGCTACGCTCTAATAGCCGTCTTCTCTAAACTACCGATACAAATGTAACGGCAAAGACAGAGAAACAGTGATTAGTTAACTTTTAACTGTGAAAACTAAGCATTGTTACAATTATAATAATTATCACGCCACCTTAAACAAGCGTGTACAGAGGGCAGCGATAAATGTCCGAATGCGTCTTTCAAGTCCAAGAAGTCTACTTAATTATTTAATATGGCAGCTATTTTTATATGACATATGCACAATAGATTTTTATTTAAAGTAGACCATTCTAAACCAGACCTAGTTATACCGTATACACTATATACACACCATGTATAATAACTAGAGATATCGCTGATATGAATCATGCCATCTTCTTTTCTATACAAACACGTGTGATGTCAGCGCCTGGGCCCGATCACTTCCAAATGTGACGTATGTTACTGAGGATTAGTGACATCAAAGTAGTGGGGGCCTTAACGGTGGTTCACTTCCATGTGACATATTTGTGTGCATTGTTAAGATAAATCGGTTTTGTTTACTACCACATTTTGAATAATTTCTCTATTTCATTTGTAATTTCACTCATTCATAAAACGAAATACATTCCAAATAAATAAGTAATGCAAATATATTTTTTATCTCCAAAGCAAATCTCGTATTGTCAACGACATCTAATAAGCCTACGCAGTTATACCCCCTTCAAGATTCATTATTTTCATCCCCCATTCAGTCACTGAAACAATGAACCTTTTGTGATTCCCTCATCAGCCTTATACATACGGCCAGGTCCGAGGAACGATCAAGTTCCCAAGTTAACGCCGAATCAAGCTTTAACAATGACTGATGTTGTTACTGATATACTGCTTTAACTACGCAAGAAATATATGGACCTTCGCGCAAGGGCTGGTCTGCATCACAATATTTACTCATATCTAGATAAATTTCCGGAGAGTTTTCATATGACGCATTTCGAGATACCCCTTTACCTGCGTAGAGTGGAGCAGCAGGGGGTAAGAACCGTTGTAACGCGGAGGTCTACGATCCTAGCATCGAGGGGGTACAAACAGAAAGAAATATTGGTCCTTTGATTGTCCTAAATACATTGAATGTTATTCATTTTAACAGGAAAAGTGCAAATTTTCAAGCAAAGTGTATGCATACACTTAGTGTGTTTACACGTGTCAGTTTTCTTAATTAGTGTGTTAGAGGAAATGCTGAAATATAAATAGTAATAATTAATAACTAATTAGACCAATATAACCATACAGATATACAAAAACACTTATATCACATCCTTCAGTCCGCTTTAAGGCGATAAGCGTTGTTAGGACAAGGTCGTATTTTCACTTATTCCAAACTTGGTCCAAGATTACATGGAACTGTTATTGACAAGAACCAAGCGTTATAAAACATTATTATTCATTGTCTTGTTTCAATATTTAAGTTAAAAAATTAAAGTTTGTTACGTCGTTCCACATTTTACACTGTTACATATCTGATTATGTAAAGACCAAAACCTTTGCAATCTATCTGTTTTATTTCAACTTATTATCATGACTTCACAAGATAACATTGGTGACTGTCATAAAGTGTGACTTTTCAACTCCAAGCCTTCAATGTCGTTCTGTTACATACAATATGAACAAAAATAGCATACAGAATGATATCTGAGCCTGACAGATAATTCAGATGTCAGTTAAAGAACACCACACTTAGTCAAGGTTTTATGTTCAAAAAACAGGTTTATTGTTTTAGCTATAATATCTGTATTACTCTTCCGAAAAGACGCCGTTTCTCAACATTTTCAGTACCTGTATTTTAGTAATGATCAGGGGACATGTCAAATAGCATGTAACTCAATAAATGACAAGAATGGAAAAAAAATGTTCACAGCCCTCGGCGTTAAGTGGATAACACGTCATCTAGGAGAGTCGTGTGTCGATGAAATGGACACTCACCTTACATGGTATTTACACGTTATTTTGACATATCTTACAAATCTTTGTAAATTTATTGTAAACATTATACCCATGTCTGCTGCTTGGGATTTCGTATTAAACTGTTTTCAGTAGCAGTTAGTGGAGGTGTCCGCTATCACAACGACTTGCCCTACTCGGATGTGTCTTGTTATGTGTGTAAACGTGTATCTATTGTAGCAATAAACATCTTGCGTATTCTCAAGTCTTCATCTTGCTTTTAATTCAATCACTTCCGAGCACCCATGTCAAATTAACGCAAGATAATACTGGTGTATATAGACAAATATATGTCATACCTACGTAAAATATTCTCTCAAGTATTTTTACATCCGGGAGTATTCATACTGCTTCCTATCTTATAAACATTGACCTTGACACCGTCAAATATCGTCAAGACCTTGCCATCATTAAGAGATGTTTTGTTAATAAGTGGCTATCAATTTCATTCGTTTCTGTTCATGTTTACTAAATCAATTGTGAGTGTGTCTGTGTGTTTTTAAAAATATAAACTTTATTTATTTTACAATAATTGCTAAACAAGTTATGTCAACTTATACTAATCACTCTTGTTGGCCCGAATGTGGGAGAAACCCGGAGTACCCGGGGAAAACACACGCAATCGGGCAGGTAAACTCTTACCTATTTCCGGAAATCGAACCCCAGTCGGCTAGGTGAGTGCGCTACCACTGCGCTACCCGACCAGCCTTTTGTGTGCGTGGGTACGAGTGTTTTACAAAAAGTTATTTTTAATGGCTCAATCTGAGTTTTGTTAATTATGGCATGTACCTGCAACATTGTGTGATTATGTTAAAGATCTATATAGTATTGACCTCCTCCAACAAACCTGTTGTTTGACTTGATAGGCTTCAGAAATTTCTTCATTTGGGGACACTGATACTTTTTATGTTTACGTCGTCATTGAAGGAAACGAAATTATATCACAAAATAAAGTATCAGTACTCACTTAAAACGCGTGAGAGAGAGAGAGAGCGAGAGAGAGAGAACGAGAGAGAGAGAGAAAGGGATAAAAGAGAGAAAGAGAGGGGATGAAGGAGGGAGACAGAGAGAGTATTATTGAAGGAATACATAATTTATTGACTGAAGTGAATTATAAAAGAATGCTCACATAAGAGAGATGCGAGTGATTTTCAATTTTAATTGTTTTCGCTCAGTAAATTCAGATACAACATATTGATTAGCTATTATTATTATTGTTTTCATTTGATAAATATGCATTTTAAGTACCTTCATAATCCCATAAAAATATTTCATCATCTCTTAATCGATATTTTCTAGGTGTGATGTAAACGAGTCACCAATTACCTAAAGGTAATGCTGATGACATTTCATGTTGTCCTTTATCACTGAAACACCTCTATACAACTGTATGGTTTTCCTCAGACAGGCCATATTCCGAATCATTAATTTAGAAATGTCCTTCGTATAAGCAACAGTATGATGTTTTACGTTAATCACTTAATTGCTGTAAACTGATTTTTGCTTAATTCAAATACTGTTTTACTAACCCTCGACGACAACTCGATAATACCTAGTTCACGTTCCAGTTTAGTTTCAGGCTGTCGAAACACCACAAAAATACCATAAAATCATGTTCATTGCATATTGATTCAAATCTTGTAAAAACAAATGGGGGAAATATTATGATACAACCGATAGAAATCATTAAATTAATAATTGGTTACTTCTCATTACACAACGGATGTATTTTCAAAACCAAACAGTAAAATCAAGCATACCGACATAGTAATTGGTGTGTGTTGATATTGAAGTTTGTCGGCTAAACATCAGTCCCTTTAACTTGTGTATTAAACAGATCTAGTGGCTGTTGTATGTACACATAACACCGTACGCAAACCAGGGCTATCAGGTTGACGCTCCGCCCACATCCATTCAAAATCATCGTGACTAATGCCACTCACATCGTTTCCGCTCCCAAACCGCCAATAAGATGAACGCTGCCTTTAAAACAATAATCCAACGTGCTCTATAAATACCGAGGTACACACCGTTCCAAACCAGAACCAGCATCTACGATCTACCGCAACGAGTAAGTATACCTTTCTCGTGAGACCGGCTGGACAACACAGCAGCGTGTGTCCATCTTTTTTAAATGGATGTTTTACTTTGACAGTAGTGTTGGCCTCACGGATTAACTTAGCTCTGGGATTTACAAGTGTTACATATCATAACACTGTCGTTTTAATAGTCTTTCTTGTCCATTGGTTGGTATACATGTCTCGTGTTAGAGCTCCTTTCGTGTTTTATTTACACACACATATATATCTATATGTGTATAGACTATGTAATTGATCTTCTATTTCTTTGGGATATGATAGTTATGTATTTAAATGTTTTATGCTAAAACATTTCTGGTTTATCTAGGTAGAATACACTATTCACCGAAAGATAGTGTGTACCGTATCGTTTAACACTAATAACGACCAAGTGATTGTATTGTCATCCCGCTAATACAGACCGGTGGTATTTGTTTTATTACGTAACAAAATACTATTATGCGCTTAACGACCAGCATGCCGTTATGTTATGATGTATGTTTAAATGTCAATCACTTTAGGGGCGGACCTTACTCACCAGCCCATTGAGACATTGTGAGACCAATATTAATCTCAATGGTTTTAGCAAACTTGTCACCGTATCATAAAACCACTGATGAAATACAGTTGTAGAGATACTGGGATTCCCCAGATGGTTTTTAAGTCATGTTGGTCATTCACGAAAACTTTCACTTCATGTGTAATACCAGCTATTTATAACTGTGACGTTGTTTTTCATAGACGCCAAAGGAAAATCCCCTTTCAGTGACATCTCCGGCTGGATCGTTATACACATGTAAATCAGCTGTGTGACACTGTCTCCACATATAAACCAGGGATGTTCTAATGCTTGTGCCTTTGTATTAGAAAAACGTGAACTTATCTTTATTTTATTTTCTCTTTACAGAAATTATTACGTGAAGCTAATAACCGCCAGAAATCAATTGCTGAGTACATCGTCTATAAGACATATCGACAATTCTAACCTTCATAAACGAAAGAATATATCAAGAAAATGGTTGCCGTATCAGTATATCTCGTGGCTGTGGCAGTCTTGTTGACTGTCGCCTACTTGAAGACATTATACAGAAGAAGGTAAGATTTTTTTTCAAATAATGCCAATATTTTATTTCATTCAAATGAGTAAATATCAAATATACTGAAAAATATATCTTGTTGTAATATTCAAGCCTTTCATTTGTGAACAACGACTTGGCAACATTTATCGTTAAAGTTTTTACTGGATCTTCAATCCTAATAGAGATAATGATGTAGCGTTTACTTTTTTACAGAAAAAGTACAGAACCGCCAATCCCAAAGGGACATTTAATATGGGGAAATGGTGCCGACTTTGCCAAGCACGCAGTGAAATACCTACACGAGACACAGAAGAAGCTTGGAGACATCTTCACGATCAGACTTCTTCACCAACATTTAACAGTCATAATGGACCCTCACTCATATGAAGCATTTGTGAAAGAGCCAAACTTTGACTTCGATCCTATCCAGAAACAGGTGAACCACAATGTGTTCAGTTTTGCTCTCATGGATTCAAAGAAAATGTTGAAAGAAGCCGCCAAAAAAGTGCGAGGAACGCATTTACACAAAGGAATGGAACAATATTCCAAATATTTGAATGCTACGCATATTGGGGTTACGAGCACGGTTGGATGTGGTCCTGCAACGGAATGGAGAACGGATGGACTTCGACAGTTCAACTCCAAAACCTTATTTGTCAGTATGTTCTACACAATCTTCGGCAGAGGAAAATCAACTGACGTGTTCGAGCCCTTAACAGTTTATAAAAACTTTGATCTTTTCCACAAGTATTTCAATTACCTTTGGCTTGGATTGCCGGTGAACATGTTCCCAAAGGCGTTAAAGGCCCTCAGTGTATTGTGCCAGCAACCGGGATCAGCTGAACTTTTAAGCCGAGATGATGTTTCCGAGTATATCAAATTCTCAACACAATTTATGTTAGAACACGGACAAACGGAACAGGACATTATCGGACATAATTTGGTTTATCTTCATGTTAACTACAATACATTTAGGATGGCATTTTGGTCGGTGTTCTACCTCATGCAGCACAAAGAAGCTCTCGATGCGCTGAGGGCTGAGATTCAGGATGTCGTCGACACAAAACTTTCAAATGGTGAAGTGAACGAAGATGGAGAAGTCGTTTTGACCTTAGAGGATATTGACGCAATGTCCTTATTAGGTATGTACAATTATATTATAATTTCTGTTTTCTGCTTTGCAATAAGTATTAAAGATAGTACCGAACCACTTACCTGTAAAAAGCGAATTGTCATAGAGTTTTGACTAAATTTGGGTTTATATTTATGTTTTACAGAAAGCAACACAAAGGAAACCTTACGCATGTGCAGTGGTGTTTTCATGGTTCGTGCTATCACCGCCGACACGACATTTGAGATGAACAACGGTCAGAAATACGATTTGCGACAGGGAGACAAGGTTGCTATGTACCCACCTACGATTCACCAGGACCCAGAGATCTTCGAAAACCCAGAGGTAGGCATTATATTCCAGGCTTTAACTTGTCAATACAAAAATAAGGCATTTCCGTTAAAGAATGAAACTACGAATGTTTCCTTGTTTTCCTTAGTACGTTTTTATCATATTCGGGAGACTCTATGGCATTTATCATATCTAAATCATTTTCTATGATAATATACTTATAATTCTTATTCTTTGTATTTTCAGTCATACAAACATGACAGATTTGTCGGAGCCAAGTTCTATAAATACGGCAAAGAGATCAGGAACCCCATTCTCTCCTTCGGATCGCTATGTCCCGGTAAAAAATACGCCATAACACAAGGGAAATGGTTCCTGTTGTCGCTAGTGTACAAATTTGACTTTGAACTCTGTGATGGTGAATCCACAGCTCTAGATGTGAAGTATTATGGACATGAAATTCTGCCGCCAACCAATGATGTACAGATCCGATACAGAATGAGGGAGAATACACACACTCTAGCCTTCAGTTCGTGATGATATAAACATCATTACGATGAACACGGAAAAACGATGTGAAAAAAACTTTTCCTTGCGAAGGACGAAAGAGACTTGTGAACTGTGAAAAATGTTTTAAATCTAATTTATTTTTATTTATTGATGTTTGAAAGGTTGTTTTTGCTATTCAGAGAGTGCTAATATTATTATAACTATTATTATTGATTAATATTATTATGTGACAATTGTTCGCCGTGGTTGTGTGTCCGCGCAAATCATTATCAAATGCCAAAGTTAAATGTAGATGTTTAATTGCAACAGGTCCCATGTGTTTATCATAACTTTTACATGTTTTGTTTTCCTCATCTTTATTCATTCCTCATCGCCACTTATTGTTTATTTGGGCACAAGTTGTGATAATCATTACTCATTTGCATGTTTCACCATTGTTCATCCATCTATACGGGTAAAAGTGCAAACAAGCTATCTCATCATTTGAATGAGTTGTACGAAAAGTGTGCAAATAATGAACATATTTTTTATGATATCTAGCATTCGTCGGAGGAGATTTTGTATCATTTTTGACGCGTCATGATAAAAATTTCGTAAAAATGATCTAAATATTACACATTCAGAAATATGAATATATATGTATTTATAGATTATAAATATATATGTATCTATATCTCTATAGATATTTCAGAAATGTCCTCCGGTTTTACAATAGCACGCATTTCAAGTATTGAATTTATTTTTGTAATCCGATGTTTTCAGTATTTGCCATACGCATACCAAACAAACTGTATATCATTTTTGCCAACCCAGGTATTCACTTTATGTGAATGTTCTGTCTCCAAGTAAAATTACTTGAGTTTATCGGTAATTACGTTTCAAATTGTTATTTATTTATTTAAATCAATTCATGTCTTACTGTTATAACGGTTACATCGATATCAAATCATGTTTTTTCGCCGCAAAACATCTGTTTTCGTGAATATTTATTTAAATCTGAGAATAGCGGACCAAACTGTCCTTTCAAATTGTGTCTACATGATGGTAAACATATTGTACATACTTATACTTATCTGAATAATGTGTTTCAACTTAGTTGTTTATGTATTTCATTTCGTCACAATTCCAGTATCGTTGTATTATCTTTCATCATAAAATGTCATTTGTACAAACATTCATTTATTTATTTAAGTTACTTGTATAATTTATTGCGTCCAATACACGAACTTCTGACTATCTGGTGCTTCAACATTGGTCAACAAAAATGTTGAATTGTTGAAAAATAAATTTCATATAAAAGTTAAAATTTGTCTTTGACTATTTTATCGAAACCTTCCTTTACATGTATGCAGATTGGACACGATTGTCAAGCATCACTGATATCAATTATAAAAACAAAAATTAATATAAAAATTAATTTTGAATTTTTACATTCTTGATTCGGAAAATAGAAATTTATACTCATTTGAAGAGATATGATTATCAGTAATGTGAGACAATCGGCGTCATATGAAAATCGAGCTCATCTGAAACGTACAAAAAATTTCAACAGAATCTTGGATTTACACTGAAAGTCCACGTACGGAAAGCCTGATTCACATCAACAAACATAAATTTCAGAAATACGGCAGTGTGAATTTGATCTGAGTTCTGAGAAAGGTGCAAACAATAATTCTACTTTTGATAAAACGTATTTAAGTCAATGGGATGATTAAAACGTGGATTTTGATAAAGTGTTATATGGGTCAGGCATGTACTGTCGCCTCTCATCTGGAAGAGGACTTGGCAGAACATTCCCATGGTGAAACAGGAAACGTATTCCCATGTAACAGAAAGCAATCAATGTATCTTTCCTCGGGCCAAAAAAACATGATGAACATGTGTACGAATGCCTTCCCAAACCCGCATTCGAATCTCCAGTACAGAATTGATGTATGAGTGTTACATTAGATTGGAAAACCGAGGCCCGTTGACGTACGAGTATCAATAATTAGGAAGAATAAGTGTTGAAATGGACAACCTGCCAAAATCCAAAACCACAACATTAAGTTGTATTCATTGTGATATTGCTTTGACATGTTGTTCTAAGGGGAGTTAAAAACCTTATTTTCTTTTTTCATTCCTCGTCAATGACATTTCTATAATCTCATTCTACTAATCTTGCACCAACAGTCACTTTACTATATCATGCAAAGTTATGTTTCACGTACGCAAGGTTGTAATGATATTGTGAGAGACTATGAATCTCTCTTCTTCGACATACACCTTTGAGGTTAGTGCCAGTGAAATATATATACACGTATATATATATATGCCTGACTCTGATCGTACATGATGCTGATCATGATATAGTATAAACATATAAAATCTCCATTACATTCAATATATTCAAAATAATACCCAAAAAGCAAATAATGTTAGAAAAAAAACTCACGAAACACAACCACTATAATTAAAGATATTTGCTCATCTCGGTGTAACACAATAGAAATAAACACGTATAGCTCAATTCGCCACCGTTTCACACGTCCACCTGGCAGCAATTTAATATTAGAATTATTCTTCAATTATTTCCTTTTTATGAAGCACAAGTGTCCTTGAATAGTGTGTCTTTGATATATTTATTCTCAAGCAGTGTGTCATTTGATTTATAATGTACATGTGTTCTGCACCAGTGTGTCATTTGATTTATTCAGTACACGTTTTCTTCAACAATATGTCTTTTGATTTATTTAGCGTAAGTGTTCTCCAACAATGTGTCATTCGATGTATTTAGTATAACTGTTCTTAAACAGCGTGTCATTTGATGTATTTAGTATAAATGTTCTTAAACAGTGTGTCATTTGATGTGTTTAGTACACGTTTTCTTCAACAATGTGTCTTTTGATTTATTTAGCGTAAGTGTTCTCCAACAGTGTGTCATTTGATGTGTTTAGTAAACGTTTTCTGCAACAATGTGTCTTTTGATTTATTTAGTACAGGTGTTCTCAAACAGTGTGTCATTTGATGTGTTTAGTAAACGTTTTCTGCAACAATGTGTCTTTTGATTTATTTAGTACAGGTGTTCTCAAACAGTGTGTCATTAATTTATTAAGTATAAGCGTCCTTCCCTTTGTCATTTGAAAATCACAACAAAACTAAATAACTTTTAAATCACTGTAACAGTTGGCAATAGTAGCCCTCTGGAGCATTTCATAATACTAGCGCATTGTAAACATCCGCAATACAAGCTCAATGTGGCTTTCATTATAAAAAAAAATTGAGAAGAAGTTTTATGGTCGTCATCTTAACGACAACTATTCTATTTCTTTGTGTAATGTGAACCTGAAAGCGTTTGCCGCCCCTTAGTTTTCACCTTGGTTCCATTGTTTTGTACATTGTTCTCAGTTTGGAACATGGCATAACGTACTTCAGTTGTCCAAAGTTTACATGGCGAGTGTCGACGATGAAGTAGCAGACGCTTACTCTTCCGGAACACCAAATCTTATTTTCCTTGTACAATTTCATGAGTCTCCTAGTAAATCTTTCTTTTGTTAATATTTTGCACTAGTTTTCTTAAATTTGAGTTTAAAACACGATTATGTTTACTTGTTGTTATTTTCTGGTTGCTCTTGTTGTCACTAAAATTTTAAATTGCTGGTATTCGTCCAACTCGAATTTTCTTCGGTCGTCTACTAAGTTTTAATACTTTATATCCTTGGCATCACTGACGAGTCGTAGATAACCACCAACGCTGTGTGATACAGTTTCTAAATCTAAACTTGTATGTAAGAATGCTACTCACTAGTTAGTCTTTCACAAGATCTACTAGATTGACATGTTTAAGTTATAGCTCATTATTTCATAATTTCATGTAACGGTTACCCAACAAATCAGTTTTTCAAAGTTTTGATGCTTGTTTGTATACCTGTTGGTTCCGCTATGGTTTACTTTCTCATTCTGGGGCGCGACATTACATATTGTGCTTGCTTGGATTGACCAAAATTTGCATGGCTGGTGTCGTCGATGAAGCAGAAGGCTCTTATCTTTCCGGAACGTCTGGTCGTGTTGTCATTTTTTTCATGTGTTTCCGGCTCCGTGTAAATCTTTGAATTATGATTTATTGTGTTAGTATTTCCTTTGTTGTAAATAACTTTTAACAAACCAATCCTATCCTTTCAGTCGAGTCTCCGATTTCATTAAAATCGTATCACTTCGTTTCATTATCTGTTGTTAGCACATTTTTTTTTCATTTTTCTTATTTCAGAATATTGTTTTGTCAAGATATCTTTTAAACCTTTGCCTTGAACCAAACCGCGAAATTTTGACCTACCTAAAAAACATTACAATATACATTTTGTATAAGCAGATTCCGTCGAATGACTTTCTCGCCAATTAAAAATTGTTACGATGTGGGGGAGAGGGTGTTTTGAACTACGCTATATGAAAACAAATGTGACGGGTCACTGACCTCTTACTTAATATTTCAAATTATTATCCTTTTTTTCTTGTATAAATATTCCTTACTAGTCGTAGTCGTATTTTTTCATCGTGTGAATAAGAATAAATATCACAACGCAGGTTGTGTTTACGATAAGATAATTACAAGACGCTTGAGTAAACACGGCACTGAAGCGCATCGTTGTGATTCTATCTGCCGTTTAGACTGATTTTATTATGCGTATCAAAAGCATAAAAATAACTATCACAGGTGCATCCGTTGAATCCTTTTTTCTCGCAATATTTAACATGCTTTTCAGGTGTATTTTTTAAAACATAATTTACATAAGTGAAAAATACATACATATCTTTTTATGAGTACGTAAATAAAAGTGATTCATTATGAACAGTAGACTGCACACCAGCAAAGAGCGCTCTGTTATTAATTAACATTTATTATGCATCGTATTGCCTAGAAATATGAATATTGTATATCATCCCTAATATTATATTCAGAAAATTAAAATAAAAAATATATTATGAAATTTCAAAAAGAAAGCCGCAATGATTAGTCCCTCAATATTGATTGTTTTACTGGTTGTAAGGCCAGCTCTGACGTAATCATGTGTTCTCGGTGGTATTCATGGGCACGACTGGGTAGGGTGACACTAATTTTAATCTATATTGCCTTTGTTAGTCTTTGAAGCTTAATAACATCTACCGTAAAAAGTCATTAAACTAAACAAGGTCTATACATAGAACATATGTGCATCTGCCTGATTTAAATATCGTTCTTATACAATGAATTATTCTATAAACTGTCTGCCGATAATGTTAAATCTCAGTCAAGGACAACTCTAACTCTGGTAATAATAACACTAGCTTTTCACAGTTAAAGTATATGTATGTGTGTGTATACTGTGGGCACTTGATTTGTATAGATAGGCTTAGTTGTAGAAAATTTAGCAATGTTATTATATCCTATCTTTGTCATGGTGCTTTTTACATACATTAAAATCGTATGATTTATAGACAACAAGTTATCAAGATCCTACAGAAGAATCGTTATTGGTTCAGAATAAGCAATGTTTTCACTTTGAGATAGATACAATTTGACTACTTATTTCGAAATAGTCTTATTTGGTAAGAAAAAAAAGTAACATCCAGTTTTATAAAAAAAATAATTTCATTAATATGGAGGGAAAAAAATAAAATCGGTTTGAAATTATTTGGTTTGATTTCGAGTGCTACGTCCTGTTATTTTTTTTTTTTTACGTTTTTGTTCTTCTCGTACCATTTATTACAGGTAAATTTCATTAAGCTAATTACGCTGGTACAATAGGTACAGGCGAGTGTTATGTTACACACTACAGTATGTTCACACCTGAACGTCTCAGCTCCCCTACCATACTTACAGCTCCCCCGGGTCGCTGTAAAACAATGCAGATCTCTTTATGACGTCAATTGTCTACAAAAACCTACAAAAAATGTTCAGATTGCGTCTGACCATTGATTCGTCGGTACATAAAATGGACATTTAGAGGGTTTTGATATAAAGAATATTAAGCAAAAAAAAAAAAAAACACATATATTTGAAACTCGCGTGTTTAAAGCCTATCGAACATAACACTTATTTCAAAGTGTCAAAAATTGTTTCGTCTGTTCGTTAATTTTTTTCACATGTAGGAGGTACCAAGTAGAGTAAGGTACACAGTTTCATTGTATTTAATCGTATTAAAGTACGATTGTTGCTGTGCATTGTTTTTAGAGTTCCGTTTCTCCGTACAAACAACTCACTTAATCTGAAACAGACAGAAACTGTCAATTGTTACATAGTCAAAGAAATCCTGTATCCTTTATATTTAAGCTAGATAATATCTAGGCTAT